GGTTTACATTATAATATAGCAATACTGGGTTTGCATTATGATATAGCAATATTGGGTTTACATTATAATATAGCAATACTGGGTTTGCATTATAATAAAGCAATACTGGGTTTGCATTATAATGTAGCAATGTTGGGTTTACATTATAATGTAGCAATGTTGGGTTTACATTATAATGTAGCAATGTTGGGTTTGCATTATAATATAGCAATACTGGGTTTGCATTATAATATAGCAATGTTGGGTTTGCATTATAATGTAGCAATGTTGGGTTTACATTATAATGTAGCAATATTGGGTTTGCATTATAATATAGCAATGTTGGGTTTGCATTATAATGTAGCAATGTTGGGTTTACATTATAATATAGCAATACTGGGTTTGCATTATAATAAAGCAATACAGGGTTTGCATTATAATATAGCAATACTGGGTTTACATTATAATGTAGCAATGTTGGGTTTACATTATGATATAGCAATGTTGGGTTTGCATTATAATATAGCAATACTGGGTTTGCATTATAATAAAGCAATACAGGGTTTGCATTATAATATAGCAATACTGGGTTTACATTATAATGTAGCAATGTTGGGTTTACATTATGATATAGCAATGTTGGGTTTGCATTATAATGTAGCAATGTTGGGTTTACATTATGATATAGCAATATTGGGTTTACATTATAATGTAGCAATATTGGGTTTACATTATAATATATCAATATTGGGTTTATATTATGATATAGCAATACTGGGTTTGCATTATAATGTAGCAATGTTGGGTTTACATTATAATATAGCAATACTGGGTTTGCATTATAATATAGCAATACTGGGTTTGAATTATAATGTAGCAATGTTGGGTTTACATTATGATATAGCAATACTGGGTTTACATTATAATGTAGCAATATTGGGTTTACATTATGATATATCAATATTGGGTTTATATTATGATATAGCAATACTGGGTTTGCATTATAATGTAGCAATGTTGGGTTTGCATTATAATATAGCAATACTGGGTTTGCATTATAATATAGCAATACTGGGTTTGAATTATAATGTAGCAATGTTGGGTTTGAATTATAATGTAGCAATGTTGGGTTTACATTATGATATAGCAATGTTGGGTTTGCATTATAATGTAGCAATGTTGGGTTTACATTATAATA